TGAATCCGATAACGGAGATGACCATTCCAACCGTTCCCACGGCAGCACCAGTGGACCTGGCTACCAAGCAGCCTGTTCTCAGTGAGACAATCTGCGCTTTCTTCTGCTCCAGCTCATTCGTAACCTCGTCAAGCACCTTGATGTAACTTGATATTTCGTGGAGGGTTTCTTGTAAATCCATGTTGATAAATGAACTTTCACTTAATTTACACCAGCGAACTTGTCTGGAAAAGATGCGTAGCGGAGTTGATCACGCCTTACTTAAGTGGCACACACATGCAGTAAGCCCTGCTTGTGTAAGTGTGCAAGGAATTAAACCAATGAAAATAATGACGAGTCAACGCTCTAATCAATCTATAACTCAACGCGTTTGCCGGCGATTCACCGCAAACTTACATTTAAAGTCGTTGAGGCAAACAAGGGCGTTTGTAACGTGCCTACCGAGCGGGGACCTAGATAGGGAGATGACCGTTAGCCCGTCCCTCTTAGATAGCCACACCATCATGGTTAGCTACCAGGCATACGATAGAAGAATAGCTGGAAGAACCGGATGTATTTTATGCTACCGCACACAAACTCAGAGGGCAAGAGCTTTGGGAGAGTTGGAGTAGGGAAAGGGATGGCCGCGAGGAGGGTTGGCGTTGCCCTCGGACTCACGGGCGTGCCTTGAGGAATGCGAGAGTGCGGGAAGGGAGAGGAGGACAAAGAACAGGCCAGACCGGCGTGCGTGCGTCGAATGGCGTGCATCGAATGGCGCGCGTCACACGCTTGTAGCGTGGGGGCAGAAGGACGCCAGCTTGGCATCCAGCCATTGGTTGAGAGCCGGTGGCGCGCCATGGGGGTGGCATCACTTGATTTCCGGTTGCGAGGACTGTCTAAGTTTCAAATGGGGCGCCAAAGCCCAGATAACCAATCACCTCACGAGATTGTCTTTATTTCTAGAAACCAAGCAGGAGCCAATGAGCGGACAGGAACAGCCTGAACCCACTATATTAGAAACCCCTTGTGAACACTAGAACCTTAACCCCGATACCGGAGACCCACGTCGATATTTTTGTACCAATAAACTTTCTATTCGTCCATACGCCTTCTGATCATGCCCAAGCAGGCTACACGCTATGTGAAGGGAAAAATGGAATTTGAACCAGTAGACCTGAGTGTTACGTTTGTTCGCAGCCAAGAGAATTCCACTCAGATTACGGTGCCAGATTTCTTGCTGACGCTAGAACCGACCCTCTCATGCTGATGCAAGAACGAGACAGCCAAAATGCGAGTGATTAGTCAGAATGTCGACATTTATACAAGTCACGGGTGACTTTTACCTGGCGGATGAAAGCGGATTGACACCCACGGGGTTGTCGGTGGGATACCGTGAATGACTCACCCACTGATGTGGCGTGGTTAGGGGGCTAGCGTGAACAACGACAAAACCCGACGATGAGCCATCTTAGGGGAATCCTGGTTCTCCACCACTGAGCTGTGGACTGCCCATAAACCTGCTCTAGTGGCCCGATATCCATCTCCCGTTAGTGGTACGTGTTTTCTGGCGTGATTGTAGCTTGGTCTTAGCAATACCTTACAACCCTCTAGTTAACGGCCCGTAACTACCCGAGGAGAGGGGAAAAGGAGGCGACAGAGAACACGATCGCTCATTAGAGTCGAACCAACCAAGTGGCTTTGTGGGCGTATGAGTACGCGTGCGTAACAGACGAATGCTGACAGAGGCCAATAACAAAAGAGGTGAGTCATTGGTCCACTCGGGCCCTCGTGCACGCTCATTCACTCGAGGTGGCTGTCAATCCACTACATGATTGTCTTAACGACCCAGCCCTATTTTATTGGGTAATATTAGCGGCTGCCGTTTTCGCACGCCCACCTATCCGCACACATGGACAGTTGGCTGACTGAACGCTTTTAAGTCCGTCGTATCCGCTATCTTACGTCAGGCCTCTCTTCTCGGATTGTTACGGTTTGTCAACCAGAGGGTTGTGAGGTGGTGCTATCACGCCTCCACACTATTATGGTGATCGAGCGTTTTGTCTAAATTTGCCCACAAACGTGGTTCGGGTTAGTTCATGACACTTAAAACCTTACATTCCTCTGTCGAGAGGTATGTGTCATTCGCGTTGCCATCATTCACCCTGAATTATGGCTTCAATGTCAGCTGTTTGACGTTTACACTGACCACAAACAGCCAAGGTAGTCCTGAGGTCCTATTGGTTCTTACAGACGGAAAGCACTACAATTTTGTCCCAGCTTTAGTTGAGACCGATGACTTGAGTGATCACCAACGCCAGCCAATTCCGAGGGCTTGAGTTGACTGCAAAACCTTCATAGAATCGATTGTAGTGTATGTCACAGACTACTGTGCTTTGTTGCAACTTTGTTTAGTTGCGGTTAATTTACGTATTATGATTCTCTAGACGAGCACTCAAATGCAATAACAGTACAGACCCGACTGTCATTGTTGCAATTTGGTTATCAGTAGTAACTATGTGCTGATTTGTAGAATGAGATATCTGGAAACACCAGTAAATTAAGCTTGTGGAATTACGCGTTCTGCAATCGCAAAAGCACACCTTCGATAGATGGGTTCCAGCACACAGGATTCCAGTGGAATCGGTCTGGGAGTAATTGACGGCCGAAGCCACGACATTTTAAACTTTATGTTGCAGCACATTTCAGCAAATGTCATCTAGTTGTCTTAGAGTTCCACACGATATGAGCTGAATTGTCACACATTGTATGCTCACTTCTGGAAATGCCAGTGTTTACACTGATGCTGAGTGACGAAGACAGAGTACGTTGGTTCTACGAGTGTGTCAACAACTTTTTAGCCTCCACATTTTGGGAACGAATAAATCCAAGCAGCAAAATATGGCGTGCCATGACAATTCTCGTCACCCACCTCATTACGTTTTCAAATAAATAAATATCATTATTTCATTTTAAATTGATGAAATCATGATTCTCTCTAAATGTACACGGAACCCGAATCCAGAGGATACTCTTGAAGGCGTCTCGCTTGTCTATGCTCGTTCTGAGATCGACTGTCGACAATTTCTAGGTAAACTGATGCCTTGCTGCATTTGAACACCACGTCCTGTCTGTGGTAATAATTTAGTGGAACTCCGCGTTATCTAGTCTTCTTCCACTTTCCGGTTTCGGCCGTGTCTACGTAAGTCATTGGCGTCAATGCGATTTAATAACCACATCAATGACCAGATATGCTTTTTCTAAGTTGTCCAACTGTCAGCTTCTAGTTGTGCATCAGATCAAAGTCACCCAACACAACGACGAATATACAAAAGCATGTTCACCGGGTTCATTGAGTGGTAGGTTAAGTTAAAAGCAAAACAGGAAAAGGGGTTCAAGGTAAAAGAAAAATTCGATAAGCACAAATGCAACGACGACAAAGAGATCCGTTGAGTCCGGCAAATCAGTAACGTCGCTTTTATAGTCTTGGAATTGAAGTTGCTTTATCACGTTCTTTGCATCGGCAACTTTCTTTCTAAACACGAAAGCACAAAAACACCGTATTGTCCAATTTGTGCGAATTTAAACCATAATTGACTGTATACATAATGTCGTGGTTTTCGTTGACGTACGTATCACTGAAGCTTCAGGGAGTTATACCATCAATTTGATGATGGTGTAACTTTGGCTTGCTACACACCGTTCAACCCTGGCAATTAACAGATCCTAGCAACCTGAGAACATGGGAAAGTGTGCCAGGAGCAGATGATGCTGATAATTTGCACACCGATTGGCCAAGTGTGTCGTTGTGAGGGTGTGAGTGAGCGTGTAGACCAAGATACGATAACACACATCTGCAGCTTTGAGAGCAGCCATGACGATAACCTACAGCGGCTGACTGCAATCAACATCAAAAGCTTTGGTTATCGACTAACAAGTGCACATTGCAATCAATGCAGCAACAAGCACATGGACTTACTGGAGTTGTTCAATCAATACATCGATGTCACCTTCCGTTGGGTCACGTGTCTTCCAATCCTTGATTAAGGATGCGAACTCCCAAGCAGTAAAGATGACATCTACGAATATTAGCGACTTGGTCGCCATCTTAAGCGTTCGGCGTGTGGCATTGGCAGCTGTGAAGGCCGCTCTGGTGGCTTGGCCAGCTTTCATGGCCTTTCCGATTTGGCGTTGCGCTCTCGACGCTGCCTTCAAACCAAACACGAGAGGCGCTTCTACAGCCTTTGCTGTGAATGTGGCAGAGCATGAAGCCTCCGCCTTCGTTCCATCCACCACTCCTTGATGACGTTCATTTGTTGGAGAGTAATTGAAGAGGGCTTCATATCTTCGATCGGCCTCCTCAATGCGTCTTCCCAGTTTCTTGATTTCTTTCATGAAGGCCCTTTCGTAATGCAGAAAAAAATATCACATCCGATTAGAACAAAATCTCTGCGATTTAGCAACACATTTCACAAACCCTACTAGAAATTTTGAAACTGTGACGCTTCTGGAGATTCAGCTTCTCTGTGACGATATTTATTAATCATTAGAAGGCTTCATGTTCTTCATTATTAACTGCGTTTACTTGCTCCATTTTTGAGTTCATACCAACCTTCCCCTTCTCATTGTCCTATTCACCTTTTAGTGCATTATTTCGCCTCCTCGCGCTCAGGACCTCAGCACGCTGTATTTTGGTGGAGCCTGTGAAGTTGCACTCGGCCTATGTCGGAGACAAGAAAAAGTCTCTGCGCGAGGTCTTGTCACAGTTTATCCTGCGCGGTGACTCACGTATCAAGAGCAGCGACATTTGGCGACTAATCCACTCTGTCAAATTGGGCCTCTTATGCCTATTAAGTACCAACTTCGTTGCCAAGTATGGCGTAATATGAGACAACAAAATTGTGCTGTTCTCCTTCCCTAACTCTGGTATGCATATCCTTAACTCTCATCACTCACTTATCATTTCTTGTTCCTGGGGCGCCAAATTACTTTGTCTTGAACTCCAGCCACCGTTTTAAGTATCTTTTACACACTCTTCTCTTGCAGACGATTTCGTACTTCATTTGTTCAGTGTCCTTATATTGTGGGCAAAAAGACAAGTAATTTATGGTTTCTCCTTAGTGGGGTCACTTGACTCTAAATATTGATAGTCAAATAACACAAACACACATAAGGCAACACTGGACCTGAGTACACTTCAGTTCCTCAATCCTGTGTGCCTCAACGGGCTCCATCATTACTCTCCCTAATGGAATCAGCCATCGTAATTCAAATGTCAGCTGAAATTCACATGAATTCTATACACTTTATGGCTCAATATTATTCACCTCCTCGCGTTGATGCCCTCGTAGGTAACAGCTTGGAACCACCTACACATTATTGCGCATTCGCTCCGAACCAAAATTTGTTACTGCTACCATGACCACTCTCTTAGATATTGTGCCTAAAAGTCATCACCAAATTATCCGTTTTGTTTTTGCTATTACAACTAATTATTAGAAGATGCAGTTTGACACTAGGTTCTCAGCTATTAAAGCCGTTTGCTGTATTGTCACTATCAATTTATAGAAATCTTAGCAAACTCTGTGGCTGTACGCATCACCATATAATAATAATTGAAATACGATGCATTATCACAAATATTTCTGTTCAATAACCGACTTTTATCGTGTGCAGAACAGCATTATTAGACCTGACACACACAAAAATGCTATCTTCGTTCTTGTGTGGTGAAGCAAGGTTTTTGGTTAATAATGAGGCTTAACTGCTTTTCTTGACTGGTAAGCACAAGCAGTCGGATCAATAGACACAACATTAGATAAAGGTATATTAAATTCAGTTATTCTTTTAATTTTGTGCCTTTAGCCCACTAAACTAGGATATTCGTGCACTTATAAGCAAAAAAACGTAAACTATATATTGACTGGAAAAATTTGGGCGCATCGTGGTTAATTCTTATGACTCACAGCTAAAACCGTTTGTCTTTGATTTCTTATCAGTGTAGCCTATCAGTTATTGTCCAAAATAATCGCTTGATTTCTTCTATGCAATTCAAAAAAAATAAACGATTGTGGAATTGTAGTGCCTTGGTAAGCACTGCCTTCCAACCCTCAATTTAACAGCTCTTTGCAATCGAGTAAAAAAGTGAAAAAAAATGACAAAGAACACGACTGTTTATTAGCGTCTGCAGTGTAGTTTGGCAACATCTGAGGGCGCAGACATATTGGACTAGGCTGGCTTCAGCCAATTCGTGTCTCTCTGCGTTCTAATGGCATGCGAGGAAGATAAGCAGCCAACCAGATAAGGACACGAATGAGGTGCAGTATATATTGAAAGGCGTCATAGCGTTGCGGACTCGGATGGACGACGCATGACGTGTGGTTCTGGTTTGTGATTGGTTAATAAAGCCTGTTCTGTTGTACCGTTCTTCTTCAACACTTGAGCTCGGGTATTCTACAGTAGCGACCTAAAGGGACGCAGACATATTAAATAGCACAGAGCTCAGCCAATCCTCTGTCTCTCTGGGATCCAATGGCATTCACGGAAGATAAGCAGCCAATGCGAGACCGACACGCAGGAGAACCGGTGTATTGTGGGTGAATTCGGATGGATGGCGCTTGACCTGTGGTTCTGGCTTATGATTGGTCAATGAAGCTGTGTCTGTTTTACCAGTATTTTTCATACTAGGGTTTGGAAATTCTGCATGTCATATCAGCCAAGTGTGTGTCTTAATGTGTGGATGAGTGAGCAGATGACAGTCGTCTGATAACAGTAACCAATGAAAAGGGGAGGAGTCATTGACAACCACAAATCAGTAAACAGGGTCGATTCAGGCGCGATCGCTGCTAATTCGTTACATAATTATCCTCATCTATTTGGCTTGTACTGTTTCATCACATGCAATTTATGTTGTCGTCGCCGATCCATTTAAAACGCATTGTTTTAGAAAGGAATGGTTCCATCATTTCTAAATCACCTTGGATGAATCGCCCCGTTAAATCGAAAGAACTTCCTTGAAGTCATGCAATACCGAATAGCTGACATTCACGATGTGGCTAGTTGAAACTCTTTAAGAACTTTTTTAAACGAAAACCGGGTGTATTTGCTTGTGCTTACGCATACGTTTCAACTATGGACGGTAATTACAAATTTGGAATCAGAGGCCTGGGTTGTTTTGTGTAAGTTTACGTGGAAAGTCACATGTTAAATTGTTGTTACATCTATAGTAAAAAATTTGTCACTATCGTCATCAAGCGCAGAGCAGCGCTGCATTGGAGAGGGGAAGTGAGAGGAAGTATAAGATGAGCGTTGAAAGAATGCGGGTAAGCAAGCCAGACTGGATGGTTTGGAACGCTTCATGAATTCTCTGGTCGGATTTGCACAGAGGTTATGGTAATCTTTTCTGCATTGATTTAATTTTAGCATGCGTAGCTCCAAGAAGTTAAGTCTAAAAGTCTTTCCTTCCCTTTACCTAAACCCGTTGTTAAAAAGCTGCCACCATGGCATGGTAAGCAGTGATAGGAGGTAGTGATAGCAGCATAAGCTTTTGTTATGGTTAGAAATAGCAAATTTGGCGAGATATATGGTGCGAAGAATCGAAGTGGGATAGATAAGAAGGTGGGCTTGAGTGACAAAGGATGATTTGAAATTATAGTGGTTAGGAACAGCAAGGAGTCAAACGATAGGGTAGTCTAGGAAAGGAGGGAGGTGGTGAAGTTAGCACGGCAAAGTTGCCTGCATCTTCTCTTCTTTTCACACATTTATAAGATGCAATTGTATGTCTTGCGAACTCCAACAAGCTGGTAACACGTGTAACATGCACATGCTACTGCCCGCAATCTACGCCACTGCGGCTGTATCATCAATGACGTCGACAACTAGGAAGACGACGACTTCGACTAAGATTGATGCATCGGAAGTGTACATTGATGTAGGAGTGGGGCCAGGTGGTGTGTGAATCTGAATGAGCACAAGTGTCAGCACCATCGACGTGGCGTGGACACGACGGTGCGGGAGTGGTTTGCGGAGCTGTGTTGATTTGAGTTTTTAAAACGTTAACACATGGAAATTTCATCGGAAAAGGGTAGAGTCAAATTCCCGTACATAAGGCGCGCGAATTCCAGCATAATTGATGACAAATGGAATATAGGCGTGTAAAGTGCATGGCCAGAAGATAAAAAATGAGGGAGATGTTTAAAAAATTTAAAAATAAGTGGGCAAGTAATGCTGATGTTAAGGTAAAAGATGCATTTGATCAAGATAAATTAGTAACGCTGAACTCTACAAAGCCTCGTATTGACTTTTAAATGAAGACATTAAACTTTTTTCGCTGCGTACGCTGCCTGTCTTTAAGTTTTGACATTGTTCACAATGGTAACTTCATCAATCATTATTTGACTTGTTATTTAATTTTATAAACGTAATCTCCAAAATCTCCATAGGGTCTGACGATTTAACCTGATACCAGGATAATAGTATAATAGAAGTTAAAATTATTCAACCAGTTGACTGAGGTAAGGTTTTAGTGTGACAACCATTTTAAACTCAGCCAATAATTTAAGCAGCTTATGATCACTTAACATTTTTGCAAAGCAGAATCTAAGTAAGACCGAACCGAAAAAAAATCAATAGCATACAATCACAGCAATGTTTAATTTTTTCCTAGGAAATAATGCTGTGCGCGTAGTTTTAATTTAGGAAAAAAGTTCGGCAACATTTGTTTACACATTTCGATGACTTAGTTTAAGGTCAATTTGAAGGTAAGTGCCACGAATTCAAGAATCGGCATTGGATGATATATTACTGGGTCATGATTTGTTGCCTGGAGCTATGATTCTGCTGTGGGCCAATGTTAGCATTCTATTTTGTTCTAAAGTAAGCAAGCGAATCTGTGTTGATTGGCATTGTTGATAAACACGAATTTATAAACACATAATATTAAAAAATTTTGTGCTTACCTCGTTATTTACGGTTGCTAAATTAAAGTAGGATATATTTTTTTTCAAGATTGCGTTTGTACTGAAGGGCTATTTTTATAATTCTTTTTTTAATTTTGCTTTTTTTAGCTGGAATAAACTTAATTTCTTTTCCTTTATTTGATTGCCACTAGTCGGGTCTTATGTTATGTTAAACAAAATATAAAACCTAGATACTTAGTTTTTTTTGCAATTAGAAGCATTGCAGCCCATTTTGAATAAAACACATTTGCCCAAACCAGGTAGTTTTTCAATTATGGGAAATAAAGTGAATTGCAATTTAAAATAAAATGCAGAATTAGCATCCACATTTAAGAAACAAACATATACCCTGTTAATTTTTTGGCGTAAGTTCACACGGTAGTGTTCCCTTTAGTTTAAAATTGTTATTTTGTCACTTGATTTTTGTCCTTAATGAAA